ATCTTAGTCTTTGAGATTTGGTTTAAATTATTGAAATCATTCACTTACGGTAATATCAAAAGTTTGATAAACTTTTTGATATGTTTATGTGTGTCTGTGGCAGGGAGATGGATATAAAGTTCATAAAGCCAAACAGAAATGCAGTATCAGTCACTAGATTTTACCAACTACAGATGTTTGTTTTCATATTTCACTATAACTAAGCCTTTTCTTGGAATTAATAGATACTTTGGATGTAATCATAAATCCTTAGGGCTATGAACTGTAGTTTCTATTGTATCCATAGCAACCAGTAGAGTAATAAATGAAATTTGATATCAATAGTCTTACACAATCCAAAACGTAGAAAAGTTGAGAATGGGAAATAATGAGATGCTGCTTCTTTGACTTTCTGCTTTACCATTCCTGTTCATTTTATTTAATTATAATGATTATGCTGCTATCCTCAGTTTATGCACTGAAGTGATAGCCAATGAAGAGGCAGAGAAATAAGTACTGCCTCACCAGGACTTGAGTAATACATGAACTCAGTTCACAGCTGCATCTTCCAGCAACTTGTACACCCTGGTTAACATCAACTTTGTTTTCCTTTCCAGCGACATGGAGCATTTGTGCACACAGAGATAAAACCAGGGAGTAGGCCAACAATTCCTAAGGGAACAGAGGTATTACTGAATGCTCCAGGGTCATGCTCATCAGAACAGCCCAAAAAAAACAGAGAAAGGAAATTCAGAGGAAAGCAAAATGATCTCACCCTGTTTCTGCCCACAAAATTCCCAAGAGCTGTTAGAGACTAAAGCTCACTTATCAGAAACAGACGTCAGAGAGGCAGCCACGGCATGCCCCAGAAGTCCTGACAGGGGTGAAGATTACAGATGTCTTTCAAACAACTGCAGTAAATCCACCAATAAAAAGTCAGGATAAATCAGGATAAATTACCTTCTTCAGATAAAAACATAACTCTTGAAATGTAGAGAAATTTCAGAATCATGATACAGGCCTTTGCATTTGCTTTTTATCTTATCAATAACCCCAAAAATTTCAACTTACATAAATGGGGTAATGAAAAAAAGGCAATTAAAATACACCAGAGTTTTAAGAGTAGTCTCTAGTGAATGATAGATTATAAGACTATTTCTATGTTATCTTATAGTACAATATTTATAAACAAAACAACTCTGTTTTGCACAAAATGAACATAATTAACAAATATTATAAAACTTTTAGAGGAGAGGCCCTGTTAGTCATCACTCATGGCTCTGGAATCAAACCAGGACTAGAATTTCGGCTCCATCACATATGAGCTGTGCAAACTTGGGTAAATTACTTAAGCTCTCTCAACTTCAGTTTCTGCATTTGTACAATTAGGATAATAATACCAAATTCATAGCTTTACTAAGCATGAGATCAGTAAGTGAAAAATGTAATCACATTACTACTATTACTACAATTTGAATTTCAATTTAAGGATAATGTTCTCCTACAAATATAAATTTTCCTGCTTATTCTAAAATTTTGAACTCCTCTATATAAATGAAGAGTGTGTTTCTCATGGTATAAGACACACACACACATGCACAACCTTAATTAAAAGACATATGGGTATCTAGAATATCCAAATATTTCCTAAATTATTTCTTGATTTACTTAGATAATTTCTAGCATTAACCCAGCCTTAACTTTTTGGATGAGTTTGATACGGTTAATTCCACTAGCCATTCTATTTCATACATTTAGGGTACTAAAATGTATCTGTTAGAAGCTATGTTATGATGCACACAAGTGGAAGTTGGTGGAGTATCCCTCTACTGCCAAAAGAGTATTCATGTGCCCCACAAATATACCCATGGGAATATATCGGTTACTCACTATTATCTTCAATATTGATAAGATTACAAGTATATATTTTTCCCTTTCTCCTACATTAAAGAAATTTTAAAAGACTTTGAACAAATAAATGCCATTACTATATATTTCTGTACTGAGGACTTCCAGTTCTTACAACATAGCAAATTAAGGCTAATAATGAACCTCTTTCATTACAAACACCTTGAAATATTGAATAAAATGAAATGAACTAACAAATATACAGCCAAGGAAACCCTCTTGTTCCAAAATAGAGAATTTGCTTTTTTTTGTGAATCAATATACATCTTGAGAAAATCTATCCTTGTCAACATGTAGACTACCTCATTATTTTAATAGCTTCATAGTCTGCCATAGTATAGATATACTTACAATTGGAACAATAAAAACGCAAGCTATGGTGTGTGTGGGGGTGGGAGAAGGACTGTTCGCAGATTTGGAGAGAGGTCTTAAAGGCTAGGGACTTGAATTTTAATCCACATTGGAACAAAGATTAAACCTTATGGCTTCCAAAGTAAAGAACTGGAATTGAAACCTGCATAAAGCTAGATCCCTTAAATAGCAGACCTATCAGAGTAGAAAAACTACTCACATAACCAAGCAGGCAGCAAGAAAATCTTACCTCTGCCTAGAGCTATAGACAGTGAACAGAATATTTGTGAGAAAGTAAAACTTTCCTTGTGCCACATTCCAGTTTGGAAACTATATTTACATGCAGCACATCTCATGGGACATAAAATTAACATAAAAATTAATCCTGCTGGTAATACTACTGTGATGCCTGACAAAAGCAGATGCAAAAACCCCCTGGAGAGATATTTCCAGAATCCACAGAAAAAAACAGTCGCTGCTAAAGATAAGGTCACAAACAAAAAAATATAAATCACACAAAGAAGAAAACCAAACTGTGTAAGAGTCTACAGTCAACAACGAGAATGATTAAAGCCTCAAAAACTGGAGGTAGTAGAATGAAAACACTTTCAGTTTGAAGACTCTTACCTTTCTTCCATTCTGGAAAATTTTACTCTGTAGCCTTTTCTGTGATTTCCATCCCCTCCATTCTCTCTCTTCTCTCCTCCTGTAACAGCTACTAGCTGAATGATAGAGGAGTTGCTTTGAACTTCCATGTCTCTTAAGTTTTCTCTCATTATCCTTTTCATGGTACTTTTCCACTAAGTAATGCAAGAATCCCTTGATACTAACTTTTGACTTACTTGATTTTCAGCCATGTCCATTGTTATACCAGGCTATCTATCGAAATTTTTAAAATTTAGTATTATATTTTTAATTTCCAAGATCTATATATACTTCCTTGATACATGACTCTTCCCATATTATGAATATGATAGCCTCTCATATCCCTCTTAGAATTTTGTTATTATGCTTAAAGTCTTTTGTTTGCTCCCTTAATTGGTCATTTTTGTTTGTTGAGTATGATGCCTCACTTTCTTGGTACTAGAGTTCTCTCAAAAGTTTGGTGATCCTTGGTTGTATGCCCATCTTTGATTATGTCATTTCCAGGTCCCTATCAGTATAAGCTGTTTTTGTCTACTATAGCCTGACTTTGGGATAGGGTTAGGGTATGTAGTCAGACAGGATCTGAGTATGATTTGTTTGATGGGTTCTTTAATCTTCCTGGAGGTCAGTAGCTACTTAGGCACTGGCCTGGTTTTCCAGCCCCAGTGTATATTCAATTCATACCACTTCTGGCCATTGCTCAGCACATGCAGACCAGGGAGGGGATGACTGATTTGCTGCTCCCCATGCAGTTCACTAATTTTTCAAATTGATAAATACCCCTTCCATTTCTTAATATTCATTGGCTCTAAGCTTGTAGTTCTCTCAGACCTACCTCTACACCAGTCATCACTATACGTGTTGGGCTTTTGTTTCATTAAGTTCTGATCCTCCAAACATTTGTTCTCTGGTAATATTTTTCAGCATTTTTAAAAGATGTATTTCTTCTGAGAGTAAGTTTCCTTGTTTTCTAATGCTATTAAACTGTACTTTATTATTTATATCTACTTACATATATTTTTATGAGATTTAATGGGCAGTAAATGGTAGAAGTGTAAGATCAGTCTGTCATCTTGAGTTGTCTCTAATTTTCTCTTATTATTCACAAATTCAGTACTTTAACCACTGTACATCACAAATTCTCTGCAATGATCTCACAATTGACTGAAGACATCACTGAGCACAGTCCTTCTGTCTTAGAGAATATGTTTTAGTGAGAGAGGAAGAGTCTGGGGCAAAATAGCCTACTTAGTGGATGACTACCACAGGATAGTTGGTGGTTCACATAATTTTCAAATATGAGGACACATTTTCTGCATTAAAAAAAGTTAATCATTCCTCACAAAATAATAATTGAACTTTTAGTATCTATAGTTTGAGAAAACACATAATAACAAAATGCAATGATGATTTCCAAGTTTACTTCTCTGTTTTTTAACTGCTAAGGGTGTCCCTCTCCACAATGAATTCCATCATCTATTAAAATTAGAACTGCCTGTCAGTACAAATAGTGCTCTTAAATTATACAAGAATATTTGAATGTTTCCAAGTTGCTCCCTTACTAAGTATTTTCATAGATTAATAGCTTTTATCAGAATCCAGGATTTTTTTTCAATTTACTAAACCAAACCAAACCAAAAAATGATCTCTCATATATTTTAATATTTTTAAAATTTCTAATGGATGCTAATGGTTTTCAACCCTTAACATTGCTATTAATAATACCATAAATTTGTATAATGTGTTTTAAGCTTTGAAGCATTTTCAAATCAATAATCTCATTTGATTCTTACAATTATCCTCTAACCCAGGGCAAATAACACAGGCATACCTTGCAGATAGTGAAGGTTTGGTTCCAGACCACTACAAGATAGCAAATATTACAATAAAGCAAGTAAAATGAAATTTTTGGTTTCCCAGTGGATATAACACTTATGTTTACACTACACTGTAGTGTAATAGCAAATAGCACTGCCTAAAAATACAATGTATACACCTTAATTAAAAAAATACTTTACTGCTACAAATGCTAACCATAATCTAAGCTTTCAATAAATCATAATCACTGACCACAGATCACTGTAACAAATTTGATAATGAAAAAGTTTGAAATATTGCAAGAATTATGAAAATGTAACACACAGATACAAAGTGAGCAAGTGCTGTTAGAAAAATGGCACCAATAGACTTGCTCAACACAGAGTTACCACAAACCTTCAATTTGTAAAAAAACACACTTTCTGCAAAGTGCAATAAAGTGAAGCACAATAAAATAAGGCATGCCTGTATGTCAATTTTACAGCAAATAAGGTCTGAGAACTCAAGTAATTTCTCCAAGTTTGCAGTTGGCAAGCAACAAAGCCAAGTCTAGAGTTTCTCAATGCTCTGTCCCAAAAAGCAACCCACAATGCAATGCTGACCCATTACAAGTGAAAAAACAAGGATAGAGTAAAAAGGATGAAAGCAAATAATTTTTAACACTTTAATTGAGAGAGCAGTCATTTTACTTGGGATTTAAAATTCTCTTTGTTAGCCTTCTTATCACTATGATGAACTAAGTTAATGTGGGAAGTACCCATCATTCCTAACACAGATAAATGCTCTACAAAATATACTGAAAACAATTTAAATATACAACTAAACATAAACAAGGAATTAAAATCCTCAGGTGTCAGAAATGAAGAGAACACTAAGAAGTGATGAGCAAGAGGTACAGCTAAATAGGTGACTGGAAAAGTGGAATCAGAAGTTGAACTTAGAAACTGTTTTTTATTAACTGAGCTGAAATAGGAGTTAAGGCCCCATATGCACTACAACTGGAACTGAGTATAGAGCCAGGATCCTAGAATAGCTTTAATGCTGTGAAAAGGATTCTAGAATACCTCCTCCTATTAGCCTGAGAATTAGGGAAGGAAGCAACTGATTACCACCCAGATGACACAATTCCAAACTGAGCTGTGCACAGGAGTGGGGGCCAAATGTGCATTCATGAATAGTGCAGGAAACCCAAATCCAGGGAGCAACAGAAAAACTGGTTTGAACCAGAGAAACCTAATGGACCCTGGAGAAATAAAAAAAAAACTACCCCATAGTAAAGCTTTACAATCCTGGATACATGAGACACCATGGAAAGAAATACCCAAAAAGAGACAGGAAAAACCCATATATATATATATGCAATATGATATTGTACATATGTAATCATCTCTTCCAGGGGAGGAAGTTGGAAGAATTCATGCCCCAAGAACTACAGGCAATCCAGCAAAGAGATAATTTAAAAAGTATGTTTAAATGATCCATGATATAAAATAAAAACTATACAGGAAAACCAGGACAGCATAAAAAATAATAGGCATATTTCAGAAAAAAAGCTATAGGAATTCTAAAGATTAAAAAAAAATCTTTTTTTAAAAACCTCAATCAATAGACTAAACATAACTTAGAACAAAATCAGTAAATTGGAAGATACAGCTGAAGAAATCTCAGAATGAAACATAAAAAGGTAAAAAGAAATATTGAAAAAGAAAGAGGCACAGTGCCGGGAGCCATGCTACTCAAGCTGTGTAGCAAAGCTCAGGCTGGAGGAAGACCCCCACAAATCATGGGCCTTTGCTGCTGGCTCCCCCTATTACCCACCTTGATTTTGTTATTCTGCATTATACTATCGGCTTTGCTTTTGCTTGCATTTTTGCCAAAGACTAAGCTAACCTTTGATAAGCAGCCCAGAAAGGAGGAGAACATAAACTTCCCAGAAGCTTTTCAGGACAGTGCTCCTGAAGAATAGAACATGCAGGGGCCAGCTGGCAATCTTGGCATGGAACACCAAAACCTGCAGTCAGTTAGTCAAACATTGACTACCCCATCTCCACCTAAGTGGGAATACCCCCTTTTTTGTAATGCTAGTGAAACTAGTGATGAAGAGTTTTATAGGAAAATTAGAGAAATAGAGTTATGGGGGAATACTGAATGGAATAACCCTGTCTGACACTATCAATCTTCTCATGTTTTCTTCCCTCTGCTACTTCTGTAGTTTTTCTTCTTCCTTCCTAATTACAGCCCTTTACTAGAAATCGTGCCTATACGTGAAATTACCAAGTAGCATAATTCTTCCAAGTGGTAAAGATACCTCAAGACAAGTGCCGGGCATAGAAGCCATGGAGCATAAATCTGCAAAGAAGTGAAAAACTAACCTTTTCAAAGAACATTACTTCTCTCTCACTTACCAGCTTTACATTTCCCTGTATGGCCCCAGAAGATGGCTGGTTAGCCAGAGACGGGTAAGATTCCTCAAGGGAGGAACAACCTAAGACAGGCACAGGCACAGGGGGGCCATCGGGTGAGAAAATGGGGGCCAACAGAGGTGAGGCTTAGAACCTCACCCCCCCACCCAGTTTTGAGAGAAATTGTCTACACCTGTGGATGTTTTGTTGCCCTTGTCTGGCTTGGATTAATACCTAGTCTATAGGCACAAACCTGATCATCTACACTTGCCTTCTTACAGTTCTAAATCATGCTTTCTATCTATATCTTGCATCTACCTATGATAGAATAAATATTATAAGGGGATAAAATGTACCCATTGCATTAGAAATATAGATGATGATACTGCCTAGATAACTGTAGCAGTGAGTGACCTGTATTTCACCCTGAGCTGATAGACTCCATAGTCACTATTACATGCTGCATGTTTCTGTGGTCACATGCATTACTTAGAAACCACTTTGCATAGAAACAGGAGACACAATAGAGTACATGTTGCTAGGAAAAGTTTCTATCAAGGAACAGAAAAAGACCACCTGTCTAACACTTGGCTAACCATGTATAGATTAGAAGGAAACAGAAAGAAAAAAGTTTGCCTATACCTATTAATCAACTGCCTATACCAATTAATCAACAGAACAATAAAAAATAATCATATCCTTGTGCAAAATGGTATAAATAAAGCTGTCATTGGCCCTTTGTCGAGAGACCACCTCCATCTGACTCTGTGTCCTGTCTCTCTGTGCACCGACTCCGTCTCATCCTTTTGGGCTTCACACCCCCCAGCTGGAGCTGGACTCCAGCAGCACAGGAATAGAATGTTACTGATTTCCAGAAAGATATAATAGAGGGTATATGAAATTTATGATAAAAATCACTATGATAGACAGTACTACTTGTTCACAGTAACCAGTCTCCCCCTTTGCCTTATTCATAGAATCATCTGTTTTGTAGCTGGGTGATTTTATTTGGCTGCCCAGAATAAAGACAATATTTTCCAGCTTCTCTTGTACCTGGATTGACGATATGACTTATGTTCTTCAGTGTAACCCAAATAGCATGTACAACTTCCAGAAATGTCCTTAAAGGGAGGAGGTAGTACTTCCTCTGTACTTTCTCCTTTCTAGTAGCTGGAATGCAGATGGCATGATTTAAGTTTTGAGTAGAGAGTCAACTTTTTGAGGAATAAACTATCTTGCATGAACTACTCTGACTTAGAGTTGTTTTTTTATCACTTGCAGCAGAACCTAATCTAAGTTATGTAGTGTTGAGAATTTTCTAGGATTAAAGAAAGATGTGAATCTTCAATTTGAAGGAGCAACTGTATTTTGAACTAGAGAATGAAATTAAATTCATATATGGACACACAATAGTAAAACCACAGAACATCAAATGTAAAGAGAAAAACTTCAAAAGTAAATCAGACTAGAGATTCTTACCTATAAGGAAAGACAACCATAATGGCAGCAGACTTTTAATCCATAGCAATAGATCAAGAAGATAATGAAATACTGTCTTAAAAATGCTGAAGGTAATAATGGCCAACATGGAATTCCATGCTTAAAAGAATTATAATTGAGGCATGAGGACAAAATATAGATATTTTCAGACATACATAAATAAAAATAGCAACTGCTTATGTAAATAATAAAATTTTTACAAGGCAGTGTTCTAAGTGATTCATAAATTTTAACTCAGAATCTCTACAATGCCCTGAGGTAGATGCTATTAATATTACTATATTAGATGTGATGAAACTAAGATACAGGGAGGTTAAGTAACTTGCCTAAGGTCACACGGCTGGTAAGTGGCCAAATTGGTATTGTCAGATAGCTGCATCTGGGGAGGTCTCTCCCAGTTCACTAGGTGAAACCTCAACCTGGACTGGGGAGGGTTCAGGAAAGAACTGGGTTCTGATCAAGAAAGACTTTTTGAGCAGGTAGTACGAGTATAGGTAAGGAAGGAATTCATTAAAGTGAGAGTAGCCGTGAATGGCTCCAGCCATGCAGGAAGCAGAGAGCAAGGAAGAACAAAGGGAGGAAAGGCAAATTCATTGAACTCCTGCTCAGCACAGGGCAGATCCCTTGCCAACTCCTGAAGCCAGGGTTACCTGGTGTCCAATGTCTGCTTGAATCTGCACAGCTTGGGAACTATACTCCTACCACCCCAGGATTTGGGGGAGCCACAGAGCATTTGATGGAGAGAGATTATGTTCTGAGAACTTCCCAAAGGCAAAGAAAGGAGATTTTTTGGGCAGGCTACTGAAGAGCATGATCATACAGGTGCAGTCCTCGTCACCCAGATGAGGGGAACTTGTTAGACCAAATCAGAGATCTCAGTGGCTCTTCTCTACTTGTCTGAAGTAGGACAGACAGAGAGTGAAGACTTGTGCTTAAGTCTAGAAAACAGAATGAAATAACAAAGTAACAAAGACACCACAGAAGGGCTCAGAGACTCTTGCAGTAAGTTGAACAGTAAGAAGTCTTTATTTAAGGCAAAAGTATACATTTGAAGAAAGGAGTGTGTGGGCAACCTCAGAGAGGAGGAGCACCTAAGGGCTTAGGATTCTGTCTTTTAAGCCTTTCAAGAATGGGGCAAAGGGCCAGGGTCAGCCTTGGCTTGGCTTGTGGCCTTATGATGTTTACCTCTAGTAGGAGACACTGTGTCACCATCCAGCCAGTCCTCTAGATATTCTTTCAGACAAACTTAACACAAGGAATTTCTTGATCCTGTTCTTCCCCAAGATAGTGCTTACTCTCAAGCAGTGGGGACATATCAGTTAGGACTGTTTTCCCTGCCTTAGTAGGATCAGTTATTGGTTTATTACCATAAATATGTTAGAAATCTCACCTCCTACCTTCCTGGTTTTTAAAATGGAATCTTAGCCTTAAAATGGAGTCTCTCGGGTAAGATTCCTCAAGGGAGGAACAACCTAAGACAGGCACAGTCGCAGGGGGGCCATCAGGTGAGAAATTGGGGATCAACAGAGGTGAGGCTTAGAACCTCACCCCCCCTGCTTTGAGAGAAATCTTCTGCATCTGTGGATGTTTTGCTGCCCTTGTCTAGCTTGGATTAATACTTAGTCCATAGGCACACACCTGATCATCTACATTTGCCCTCTTACAGCACTAAACTATGTTTTCTACCTTTATCTTGCATCTACCTACCACTTCAGCAGTTTATTAAAAATAAAAATAATAATAATAATAAAGGGAGAAATGTGGGATCAACATATAAATCAAGTATAAAAATCAAACGAATATTCATATTTGACCTGATTGTTTATAGTTCATAATGCGTGATCAAAACCGAAAGTTTCTGTGATGAATGCCCTTGTACTGTTCACCATGTAAGAACTTATTCACTATGTAAGAATTCGTTCACCATGTAAGAACTTGTTCGTTATGCTTCAGAAGATTGGAGACTGACGAGAATTAGGCTTGAGATGGATTAATGATTGTACATTGAGCATTGACCCCCCTATACTGAATTTTATTGTTGTTCACAACCATTTGATCAATAAATATGAGAGATGCCCTCTCAAAAAAAAAAAAATGGAGTCTCTCCTGTTCTTACTATAATTTAATCATAGGCAGGAAAAATTAATCATATTGTTTGTCCCATGTCCCTTCTCTGCCTAACTGAGATTCAAGCACAGGCATTTGGCTCCAGAATCTATGGTTTTAGTCACTCATAGTAAAAGAGTTAGTTACTCACAGCTCTTCACTGAAATTACTACTAAAAGATGTCATTGTAAAAACCAACAGTGACCCTGGACTGAAAAAGTACAATGTAGGAGGAAAACAAGACAAATAAATCAGCAAGTCATACTGATTAATTAATGCATTAACTAC